TCTTATCATTATATCCTTCCAAGTCATTCAATTAGTTTCCCAACTCCTCTCTCTCTCTCTCTCTAATGGTAAGATGCCTCCATTAATAAGCCTATTCCATTCAGTATTCTTACTGCATCAATCCATTGAAAGTTGCTGGATTAGTTTCCTCTTCCACTTACTGCAGCATTTCTCAATACTATTTCAGACATCTTTATGGAAATAATCAAAATTGGGATATGTCAGAAATAAACAAAGTTAAAAAAGCTTTGAATCTGAGCCAACTGAACGCCTGTTAGTTTTTAAGAGATGCTTCAAGTGGGAGATGAGAGCAGAAACTTTCAACAAAGCTACCAAATTAAACTGTCAGAAAGAGAGAGTGAATATTATGAGGAGAGGAAAGTTTGGTGCAGAAATAGCTGAGGATGAGGAATTTGATGATCTGATGCTGTGATTTGTGTAGTAAGATGATAAATAGTGTTATGTGAATTTCTTAATGTGACTGTAAGAACATTTTTATATGATATTCTGTAGCTTTCAGAATATTTGGAAATTTTTTTATTATAGATTCGAGAAAGCTTGGATGCTGTCGAGTGGCGATCCGACAGTGGTGTTGGGTGGTGGTTTGACAGATGCAATTTGGTGGCGAAAGCCTGATGACACCAATTAAGCGATGGTTTGATGGTGATGGTTGTCTGGTTGGGTGGTGAAAGTTCGATGGTAGTAGTTATGTCATGGTCTAACTATGGTGATTAAGAAATGATCCGACTACAGTGATCAGACGGTGAAGGTACGATAATGGTGGTCGAGTGGTGGTCTGGCAACGGCAGTGCTTCAGCAGAGATAAAGGATTCTTCAAATTGTTGACGTACCTTGAATCTATAACAAATAGTCCCCTCTATACAAAGTGTGTGGGTCTATTTATAAAGTATTCAAGTGGCATGCCTTGTAAATATGAAGAAAGTCTATATGTCATGCAATAATATCCTTGATCAATAAACATTGTTTTAGCATTTCAGTGCAATTTTGATCTTATTGGATTTGTATCATCGAGAAGCATGATTTTTCTATAAGATGTCAAATTTGGAGATTATTTGAACTTCAATTAATAGTCTAAAGTTTTCACATATGCTTTGAGCTCTTGATTTATGCTTATTTGGACTCGGTTCAAATCATTTTTTTTGTGTTGTTAGGTTCATCTTGTCGAGCAAATCAATTTGACTCCAAGTTCGTTGAAATCGGAAATTGGCTCGAGCTAGATTCGATAAATGGCTCGTGAATCAAACTTAATGGGCTAATAATGAGTCAAATTTGAGCTAAACTAACTCGACTCGACAACTCTCGAGCTGGCTCATTTATATATATAATACATTTAAAATATATTAAAAATTCAATGATTTTAGTATAAGCTGGTCAAGAATATTAAAAGTTTATATTTCTCTTTTTCTTATTTTAAGTGATCAATTATTATTTCTCATGTAATTTTATATTTTTAATCATATTATTATAATAAATATGCAATTAAGAATGATCTTATTTTTATATCTTTCATAATAAAAGAGTCAATTCGAACTCATAGAATTAAACTCGAGTTAGAGCTTGAACTCAAATTCAAGCTCAAGTCAAGTATGCCTCAAACTTGGCTCGACTCTTTTACACCCTACAACCCTACTTTATCTCGTCTTAAAAAAAAAAATCATCCTAACATGTTTCACCTAAACCCTAATTACAGAAATAGCACACATTTTGTTCAAATACAATGAATGTGCTTACATCCATGAAGATGTTTTGCACTTAGACTTTGTTTAGGGCAGCTTTCTTATTGTTTCTTAAAATAATTTTTTAATATAAAAGATTAAATTTTTATACTAAAAAGTTATTTTAAGAAACAATAAGAAAGCTGTCCCAAACAAGCAAAATTATTACGTACAATCACCGACGCCGTCCAGAGGCCAATTAAGACGCAACACATCACCAATTTAATTTGTACTATTGTATCAGGTAATGTGATGTGTCCTAATTAGCCTCTGGATTGTTCGGTTACTGCGCATGATAATTTCTCTCCAAACGAAGTCTTAGTCATATATTTAATTTGTATAAAAATGCGTCTCTTTATAGAATATAAAGAATTCATTTATAAATATTCACAATAGAAAAAGAAATTGAATTCTTCTTACTCAATAAATTAACTCTTTGCCAGCTTGGAATATTTAATCTGTTATAATCTGTAATAGTTTAAATATGTTGGTGAATCAAAGACGTGTTGATTGAGAAATCATCTGATTTTATTCTCTCTTATTGTATTGGAAGACTTCTTATAGAAATTTGCTGCAAATGAAATTGATTTAATCTAGTTCAAATTTGAACATATGTTCAATCATGGTTCAAATTAATGTCAATTAATGTCTGGGCATGGGAGAAATTATTCTGTGCGGAGGCCGGACGCAGCTCTACATCTAGTGACCAACCAAAATGCGTCACGTCAACGGTACTGAGCGGAGTGACATGGCGAATTCTAGTTGATCGCCGGATGGCATTCAGTGTGCACATAAAATAATAAATCCCTAGATAAATCCCTAGCCTTGATCTCATTATTTTTGAATGATTCCTCTCTCGTGGTATCTTCCCCATCGAGCTCT